GCTCCTCTTGTGGTCCTCCTGTCTGTTCTGTGGCTCACCAGCTCATCAGCAAGGACGTGGTAGAAGGTCTTGCTAAAGGACAGGCACAGGGCACCTCCGGCACTGTCTGACCACTGAGCAAGCTGTTTAACTTCAAAAGGCCACCACATTGGTCAGGCACATCCCACCCCTGGTAAATCTGTGTTGACTGTTCCCAATTCCCTCGTTCTTCCTGGATTTCAGAGAAAAGAAAGTGAAACTGCTCAGAGGGAAAGAAACCTCCTGTGTAGCTACAGTTGAGCCTCCAGGCAGAATCCTGACCTGCAGGAGGAGGGGTGTGAGAGGCTGCAGCAGCTCTTGGCTTTGCTTGTGTGTGGTGAACAGTCTCCAAAGCCAGAGGCAGTTCAGGGGTTTATTCCTCTGGGGAACGGGTGGCTCTCAGTTGTTTCCTGGAATTCTCTGTGTTGGGTTCAGGTGGAGCTGCTGGTGATGAAGGCTCTCTCGGTGGGCTTGGTGAAGGGCAGCATCGATGAAGTGGACAAGAGGGTGCACATGACGTGGGTGCAGCCGCGTGTGCTGGACTTACAGCAGGTACTGGGCACAAAGGCACAACTGATGTGTGTTGGATGAGGTGACTGGGAGAGCTGGGAGGGGTCAGTGCTGGAGAACTGGTCTCCTTGGTGCTCTCGAGGACACTCAGGGCAGGAGGAAGCGGCAGCTTTTCTTCATTCCTTTTTCCATTGCTGCCTTTAGCCTTTACCCTGGGTGTGTGGTGCCTCGGGTGTGTGGTGCAGTAAGCAGGAGACAAATAGTGACACTTCTCTTCTGAAAGCCACACAAAGAACCATGAAACACGAATGCTGTGACTGTTTTCCAGAAGGACTCGGACATCTGGGTGGTGCTTCACACCTTAATGCATGAAACGGAGTCCTGGAGTGCCTGGGTTGTAGGTGGCTTCTCTCGGGAAGAGAGTGGTTGAGGGTGGTAAAGATGAAGGTGCTGAATGTCTCGGGTTCATCCTCTTAACATTTTAGGAGACCATGTAGGGGGCCTTCGCCTCAAAAACCCGACCACATCAGTACATGGATTACAGGCTGCAAGCAATCCCTTTTGTGCATTTCCATGTAACTTCAGCCGTTGCTGTTTTGATGGTCAAAGATGTTCAGGAGCATCTTTCCTAGACACATGGGAGTTGTTTGGGATCTTGGGTGTTTGTCTTTGAAGGTGGACACTGGTGTTGGCAGCAGCTGAGGGGTTGAGGTTGCTGTGGGCTTCCCTTGCAGATCAAAGGAATGAAAGACCGCCTGGAGTTCTGGTGCACAGACGTGAGGAGCATGGAGATGCTGGTGGAGCACCAAGCCCATGACATCCTGACATAGAGCACCCTGCACTGCCCCTGGAGAGGGAATCCTGCTGCTCCTGGTGCCAGCAGCACTCAGACCACTGACTCTGTACTGCGTTGTACTGGGGGGTGGGCAGAGGGGGGAGCAGCTCTTGAGGCTTGTTGGGAGGAGTAAGTGGCCTTTTGCTGTGTGACCCTTTGGTGCTTGGAGTCGAGATTTCCCTGATCACTCACGCGGGTGGCACAGACCTGGGGGCTCCCATCCTGCTCTGGCAAAGGGGTTCATTCATCACACTGCTGTGGGAGGATGGGTGCTGGTGCCTGTCACGGAGCAGAGGCTGTTTGCTGGGTAAGGGGCAGCTCCTTTACGGGAGCTGGAGCAGTGCCTGATGTTGTACCTGGTGTTAGGTGGTGGTACTGGCCTTAGGAGGGCACAGCTCCTCCTGCCCCGCAGCAGCCCCAAACCAGCCTCCTCCTCCAGCCCGTCCTCCAGCCCCTCCTCACCGCGGCAGAGGGAGGGTTTGCTCCACCAGAGGCTTTTCCTGGGATTCCTGTGCAGTGGAAGAGGTTCCTCCACTTGGGGGGGTTGTGTGTTACCAACACGGCCCCCATGAGGTGCTGGAATAAACTTCTCTGCCTTCCCTTTCCCCTGCTCTGTGGCTGTGTTTGTGTCTCCAGCACTTGCATTGAGCCTCTGATGGGTTTGACTTCCTTTTACGTCTCACATTGCAACCCCCTCTGTGCAAGAACAACAGACTTGCCCAGCCCGTTACCACCAGTGGGGTTAGTGTGTCACTTACACAGTGAGCAGCACCTTGTGCTCTGCTGTCAGGTTCCTTTCCCTGGGGGAAGCTGTAGGCCCAGTGCTTGGGAAAACGTCACTGGTGGAGAAGCCCTAAATGAGGCCAGAGACAAGGAGGTTTTGTTCTCTTTTGCCTCTTAACAGCTGCTCTCTAAAAGCTTTTGTAATGGGATTGTTTTGCCCAGCCATGTCTTTCCAGGGATGGAAGGTAATTGTGCACGAGGGCTGGAAACAGGCAGATCTGAGCTGGGGGTACCTCTGAGTACCCCTAATTGTAAGGCAGCAATAGCAAACTGCACTGGGGTTTTAACTGTGGCTTTAAATCGGCTCAAATAGACTCACAGGATGATTCTCCTCGGGGTCTAGGTGGATGTTCAAGTCCTGCACCCACATGTCCATGGTCAGTTCTTGTGTCATCCGCTCAGTTACTGCTGTGGTTCAGGAGCTCTGTTTGTCTGATCTCTGGGTCACTACCAAAGTGCCTCTGGGGCTTTTACTCTTGTGCTTTTTGACCCTCACTGCGGGGGCTTGGGAGTTTTGTGCCGGCAATGGGCAAAAGGAAGCTCATGGCTGATGCTGGACCCGCTCTGCAGGCACAGAGGGAGGCTTCAGGATTTGAAAGCCAACACACATCACACCGTCAGCCCCTGTGCCTGGTCACGCACCGCCCCTCTGCCCTCTTTGGACTGAACCTCTTCCTGCCTGGGGCTCAGCTCCAGCTCTGCCTCTCCCTGCCCAGACCCTCGGTGGTGGTTCTGCTCTGCCTGTGCTGGTCCCACTGTCAGTGTGTGAACCCCGATGTTTCCTCCTGTGCTGGGCACTGGGACATTCCCTCCTCCACACTCCCCCTTGTGCTCCACAGCCCGCTCCTGGTGCCACTGACCTCAGGGGAGCAGGAGGAGGAGACACATGAAATGGAGCAGTGCTGTCCCCATCGTGTAGGTACGGATGGAAAAGGGCTTTAAGAAGCTCCATCTCCTTGGTGGGGTCACATCACTGCACATGAGGAGTGAAGGAAATGCCACCAGTGCAGCAGAGCTCAGGCACCGGGGCTGCTGCTGCTCTAATGAGCATCGGAACCTGGAGCCTCATGTTGCAATGGAGCTGGTCTGCTGGGGGGGTCTGACAAGCCCTCTTGTTCTGTGGGAGCCTGGCTTGGGTGTTGGTTTGAGCCGTGCGCTGAGGTGAGGGGAAGCTCCTTGTTGTTTCAGAGGTTTTCAGGATATCTGGAGTGTTGTTTGCTCCCAGAGCCCTGTGTGGGAGCCACTGCTGCTGCTTCCCTGGCAGGTAATGTGAGAAATGAGCTGTGGTTGGGGCTGGAGAGGCTTCGTGCAGGAAGAGGACAAGTCAGATGTGCAGCCCCTGCTCTGGGCCTCTGTAAATGTCACTGCAGCCTTTGAGTATGTCCTTGCTGGGATTTAACCTGATTTTGCTCCCTTGTCAGTGCTGTGAGTCGTTCCTGGTGTCCTCTGCTGCAAGTGTGTGAGGTAAGAATCCAGCTCCATGGGAAACCACAGCTCTGGCTGGAGCCTGCTGCAGCCTCACGAAGGAATCACCCTTATGGAGCCACACAATGAACCAGGTTGGAAAAGACCTTGAAGATCATCGAGTCTGCTGCCAAGGCCCCTGCTAAGGCTCGAGCAGGATTACACATCAGTGCCCTATGGACAAGCTGAAGCAAACCCAACACCCTCAATGTGAACATGAACTTTAATGGACAAATCCCGAGGGCTCCGTCCTGGCAAAACTCCGTCCTGTGGCCTTGGTTCCACTCATGTATGCTCTCACCAGGGTGCGGGTGGTTCTCTGCTCCTCACTCGGGTCTGCTCTTGTAGCTCTCGATGTTTCCCAGGATCCAGGCTGTTGGGAGCAGGAAGCATCCGAGCATGATGGAAAACGCAATGGCTTGTTCCTGTGCCGGAGGAAGCGTGGAGGGTCCGTGGGATGGAGGGAGGCAGGAAGGGTCGGTGGGAGGGGAGGGTCAGTGGCACAGCAGGGCCGGGGCCTCGCTCCGTGACGGCCACCTTGTCCCTCGCTGGG